TTCGAACCCGCCACCTTAGGTGTACGTGGCTGGCGCCTTAGCCGGTTGAGCTATAGGCGCCGAGCCAGAAATTTTCAATTTTTGTTTTAAGTCCAATGGCTATATTATAAAATAGACAGGTGTTTTGATAAAATTAGACAATTAAATTTTTGCCACTTGAATAGCTTTTGTGGATTCAACAGACTATGACAAAACATTTTTAACGTAACTTTTTCAATTTGCAAAAATATTTTTTTTAAATTTATTTTAAGACAGAGTCTCACTTTGTCACCCTTGGTGGAGTGCCATGGTGTCATAGCTCACAGCAACCTCAAACTCTTAGGCTCAAGCAATTCTTTTGTCTCAGCCTCCGGAGTAGCTGGGACTACAGGTACCCACCACAGCACCTGGCTAATTTTTAAAGACAGGACTTTGCTCTTGCTTTGGCTGGTCTTGAACCTATGAGCTCAGGCATTCCACCCACCCTCAGCCTCCCAGAGTGCTAAGATTACAGGCATGAACCACTGTGCCCAGCCTCCACCTACTTCCTTAAGCTTCCTTTACCCTTTATATAGGTATTGTATTTTATAATAGTTCAATAGCTTGTATTTGAAAATGGAAGCCCTAATGAAAAGAGAACAGTAGCAGACTTATCATGCCTGTAGAATCTGAAATGTTTTTAGATTTAAAAAATTGTAGGGTGAGGAAAAAACAAAGCAGATGACTTAGGCCAGGTGCAGGGCTCATGCCTATAATCCTTGCACTCTGGGAGGCCGAGGCAGGTAGACTGTCAGAGCTCAGGAGTTCTAGACCACCCTGAGCAAGAGTGAGACCCTGTCTCTAAAAATAGCCAGGCATTATAGGTGCCTGTAGTCCCACCTACTCAGGAGGCTGAGTCAAGATGATCACTTGAGCCCAAGAATTTGAGGCTCCAAAGCACTCTACTGAGGGTGACAAAATAACATTCTTCAAAAAAAAAAAAAGACCCACAGAATTCACTTTTTTTACAGTATGCAGGACCATTTGGGCCCACACCTGACAAATGGATACCTAATTCTAAATAGAATACTATACTGATTACAACACATATAAAATCATTTTTAAAAAAGTAATGCTGGGGGGCGGCACTTGTGGCTCAAAGGAGTAGGGTGCCAGCCCCATATACCAGAGGTGGTGGGTTCAAACCTGGCCCTGGGCAAAAACTGAAAAAAAAAAAAAAAAAAAAAGTAATGCTGGGGCAGTGCACATAGCTCAGTGGGTAGGGCGCCAACCACATACACAGAGGCTGGCGGGTTCGAACCCAGCCTGGGCCAGCTAAACAATGACATTGCAACAAAAAAAATAGCATTGTGGTGGGCACCTGCAGTCCCAGCTACTTGGGAGGCTGAGACAAGAGAATCGCTTAAGCCCAAGAATTTGAGGTTGCTGTGATATGTGATGCCACGGCACTCTACCCAGGGCAACAGCTTGAGACTCTGTCCCAAGATTTGCTTATCTTCAATAAAATATAACAAGGCAGACTAACTAACCTATTTTCCCACTGATGGCATCATTAGAAAGTTCTTTCTTCCATTGCATTAAGCGGTTTGCTGATCGTCATCAACCACACAGCAGGCTGTGATGGCGATTCAACAGTCTAGTGACTTTCAAAGCCATTAGTGTCGGCGGTTATGTCTGCTGCTCCATCACTATGCTGAATTATCAGAGCAGGAACTGTACAAGTACCTCTGCATCTATAAGCTTAGGAAAATTACTGCAGGGAGCTGCACCATTCTTGGTGAGCTTCCTCGAACCCAGCAGAGTCACATACTTTGCAAAGGGTAATCTGTTGTCAGGAATGGGCCGGTCCTACATAAAATCAACATGCCTGAAAACACTGGGCCCATCTCCATGGATTTCAGTCAATTTTACATGTCAAGTGAGAAAGATGAATCATTAGGATCCACGTTAGTGACATTTTTGTAAAAAAAAAAAAAAGTTTATAGATTATTCAAGACCTTAGGTTGAGCAAAAGTCAAACTCATATTTTACAAATGAAAAACATCACAGCCTCTCCTCCCCCACTTCTCCTGAATCTAGCTGTAAGAAAAGAAAAGGCCAGAGCCACCAGGCTGTAGTCTTAGCATTCTGGGATGCTGAGCCGAGTGGAATGTCTAGCTCAGGAGCTTGAGACTAGCCTGAGCAAGAGCGAGCCTCTGTCTCTAAAAAACAAGCAGTGCTGTGGTGGGGCACCTGTAGTACCAGCTACCAGGTAGGCTGAGGCAACAGTATTACTTGGAGCCCCAGAGTTTGAGGTTGCTGGGAACTAGGATGCCATGCCACTCTACTCAGGGCAACAAAGTGAGACTGTCACCCCACAAAAAAAGTAACAAAAGAAAAGAAAACCCAACTATTCACCGAGAGGAACTAATAAAAAAAAAAAAAAAGAAACTTTGGTGGCCAATGTCATTTCCTAGATCTGTTAGTTGTCAGTGTGTTACTTAAAGAGTTCTTCTTGTTCTATTTTATTTTTCTGATCTTAAAGGCTAACTGAATTGAAGTATTATTTTCTTGAATAAAATTGACATATTTTATCATCTTTTTTACTTTCAGCAATATTTAAGCTAATTGAAGGAGTTTAGTACTCCATTCAGCTTATTATGCTTTCCAGAAACTATGTGAGACTAAATGCTAAAGTTTTAACTATACTGTTTCATTTCTTAGACCCAGATATATTTTCTCTTTAACTTTTAGTCTCCATTCATTGCAAACACTGCTTCTAATAGAATGAATTGATAACTGTTAATAAAACTGCTTGGTTACTTAATTTACAGACATTATTATGTTTATTGGAAGGAAAATTAGGAGACAGAGTTCATATAATTTCTGCCCTCATATTTTAAAAAAAAGACTCTAAATCACTTGTGCTTTGAATTTTTATTTTTGGCCAGATGACTAACTTCTAGTTGCATTCTATGCAACCTCTTCAGGAATCTCATTCTAAATTGAGAATTTTGAGCAAATTTGCTTTACTTTGCATAAAACTTAGAGAATAGCAGATTCTGTTAAAGGAATCGGAGGGGTTTTTAAAACTTTAGGATCTTCTTTTGATTCAGTGTACCTCTATCTCAAAAATATTTTATTAACATTCATGACTATAAATTCATTTTTAAATAAATAGAACTTACCACTTGGAGAATGTCTTCATCTTTTGGCATAACACTAAGTTCCAATGTTGTATCACTGAAATTGAATATAGGTAAATACTATTTTAGGGAAGACAGGAGTATATCAGAAAGACTTAAGGGAAAAATAGTTAACTCACCAAGTATTTTTTTGAACTGTTTAAGACTTTAATTTCGATTTAAAATCTCTGCTTCATAAAACCAAATCATCAGCATGAAGTCACTTTTACATACATACATAAGTTAATTATGTATATTACGAAAGAAACCACCGTACCATGTTCGTGCTGTTCATTATCAGTCAAATCTCATAACATGTTTCTAACTTAGAAATATAAAATATGTTGCTTAAATAGTCCTGGAACAAAACTCATAACAGTATCAGTATCAATATACAAATTATTTCATCCAAGCCACAACACAAATTATATATTTTTTTAAATCACATGTTCTGTTTACCAAGTTAAAAAATTAATTGACATAAAAGAGTCACAAACTCCTCAGATTTGACATACTAATGTTAAACATCCTAACTTCAACACTTTCCCTCTTAGCCTCAGAGGTGAAGGATATCAGTTCCCTATAACAACTATTGAAATGATTCATTTTTTAAAAATGATATAGTATCTCAACTATTTGTCTTTTTCTGTATGATTTTAGAGACTTTATAGCAGCGGTTCTCAACCTATGGGTTGAGACCTCTTTGTACCAATGAAAATACATCATGGCATTAGGAAGGTTGAGAACCATTGCTTTATAGGAATAGCTCAAAATCTTATTTAGATACTGTAAACCTTCTGTTAAAAATGATAGAGAAGACTTGGCGCCTGTAGCTCAGTGGTTACGGCGCCAGCCACATACACTGAGGCTGGTGGGTTCAAACCCGGCCCGGGCCTGCTAAACAATGACAACTGCAACAAAAAAATAGCCGGGCGTTGTGGCTGGCACCTGTAGTCCCAGCTACTTGGGAGGCTAAGGCAAGAGATTCTCATAAGCCCAAGAGTTTAAGATTGCTATGAGCTGTGACACCACAGCACTCTATCAAGGGCAACATAGAGAGAAAAAAAAGAAAGAAAGAAAGAAAGAAAAAAAGACAGAGAAATTTCTCTGGGTTTCAAAAATTTCAAAGGGGTTAATTAAACTGAATCCTGTGATCTGGAATTACATTTAGGTATGGCAAAAATAATGCTACTATCTCCACCAAAAGCTTTACTAGCTAACCTTATAATACCAGGCAGATTTTCCTCTCAATAGAAGAGATTAAGAAACACTCCAAAAAAAAAAAAAACACTCAAAATAATCGACTAGTGTCTCTTTTTGATAGATTCGAGCTATTATTTTTAGGTTCATGAGTGCTGTAAGAATGGAAAACCAGTAAGAACCACAGGTTCAAATCACTTTAGTAAAATATGTAGGCACTTGTATTTCAATATTTAGAGTTGGTAGAAAATACATACTGACGTTTAGATAAATTCTTCTGCAAGGATACATTTTTACATTAATACATTGCAGAATCAATGGCTTTGTGCTGTATTATCGATTTGCTACCAACTGCAGGCAAAAGGAACACAATTTTTTAAAAGAAAATAAGATTATGAAAAAAAACAGTAATTCTCTAATTTTCAAATTCCTTTAATGGGTTGAAAAATTAAGACTGTCATTCCAAAGTGTTAGTACTTTGAAAGTAAAATTTTACCTGTAATAAAAGAATTAATGTGAACTTTGAGGAAAATAAAGATTAAGTTGTGGTTACTTGGAAAGATCACATTTTTTAAAGAAGAGACATTAAGAAATACACTAAAATCTTTAAATGACAGGGTGACAAAACATAGTTGTATTTATGGTAATGCAAATTATTTTGAGGAACGGAAAATGGAAAGCCTCCTGCTGCCCCTTGGAGGCTTTAAATTCACTGTCCACAGTAGAGATGAAGCTTAAGAGATTTTTTCTCTAATAATCCCATTAAATATTAAAACATTAAAGCGACTACTCTGTGATCAATTAATCATGATCCGTGTCATTTAATTGTAAAAAATGGCAATGTATTGGGGCATTAGTATAAATAATTTAGCTGACTGCATGAACAGATTTAGACATGGTTGGAGAAGAGCGTGATAAAAATCTTCAGAAACTTCGGTTGAATTATAGACAAGTCAGTGACAATTGGATATCAAAAGTTCCTGTGTTTGAATCTGAGAAGAATCCTTACAATAAAATTATCTGGCATCAGACCCAGCTCGGCCTAGTTTTGACAGAAAGTCAATATGGTAAACTCTTTGGTTTTTGATTTATTTGTAACTTGGGAAAAAAAATTCTAGGTGTGTGGGTGAAAGAAAGTAAGACTAAATTATCTTGGGGGTGTCACAGTCACTCTAAAGCTATCTACCTTTAGAGCTCAAAATTCTATCATTCTGTAGAATGTGGGCAGACAAGTGGATTAAAACAGACTGTCTTGCTGTCTTGGTTAGAACAAATGAATGGATTTAGGCCAAGAAGATTATTCAATTAGATACTTAAAACTAACGGAACTTAGTAAGAGGTTTTAAAATAAACTATGCATGCATTTATCTATATATTTATTATAAAGGAATTATACATTTATTGTTTCAAATAAAAGGGGGAAACATAATAAATCTAAATGGTATGCCTCTCAGATGCTAAAGGATTTTAATCACAAATCTGATAAATCTAAGCTATCCTCAGTGAGTTGTTCTCAGCAACTCTCAAATGCATTCTCCATTCTAAGAGAAAGTTCTGTACCTCCACATCACCCTAATTCCTTATAGGAATACAAGATTATATTAAATCTACTCTTGATTTACAAAACCCATCTTCAGCCAAAATAAATCATGTTCCAAGAATCTTACCTGTTCTGAATTAAAGCAATTACTTGGGAGTAGGTCTTGCCAATCACACTTTCTCCATTGACTTTTATAATTCGGTCACCTTCAAAGAGGAGTAAAAAAACACTTTAAGTTCTAAGGAATGTCCCTTTTGAATGTTTTCAAAATATTTCTTAAGTAATATCGTTATTGTTAACATAGGGTATATTGAAATCATAATAAAAATATGTATTATAGTATCGTATTAAAATAGTATTATAATTTATGATTATAAAATAATTATATTAACATCCTTATTTTTTAAAGTACCATTTACAAAAATGAATCTAAATTTTAATGTATCCACCTTGTTTTGTTGTTTGAGGCAGACTCTCACCCTGTTGCCCAGCCTAGAGTGCTGTGGCATCAGTCTAACTCACAGCAACCTCAAACTCCTGAGTTCAGGTGATCCTCCTACCTTAGCCTCCTGAGTAGCTGGGCCTACCAGTACCTGCTACAATGCTGGCTAATTTTTCTATTTTTATTAGAGATGTGGGTCTCACACTTGGCTCAGGCTGGTCTCAAACTTCTAACCCCAAGGATCTTCCTGTCACATGCTCTCAGATTCCTCAAGGAATCTTGCCCCAAGGATCTTCCTGCCACATGCCTAGATTATAGGTGTGAGCCACCAGGCCCTGCCTATATCCATCTTCTTACAAAATATGAACATGCTCTTAACAAGATTCTCAATCAATGGCTCGGCACCCGTAGCTCAATGAGTAGGGCGCTGGCCACATACACTGAGGCTGGCAGATTTGAGCCCAGCCCAGGCCAGCTTTTTTGTTACAACTAAAACAAAAGAATAGCCAGGCATTGTGGTGGGCACCTGTACTCCCAGCTACTTGGGAGGCTGAGGCAAGAGAATCACTTAAGCCCAAGAGTTTGAAGTTGCTGTGAGCTGTGACGGCACAGCACTCTACCAAGGGTGACATAGTGAAACCGTGTCTCAAAAAAAACCCCAAAAAACAAACAAAGAAAAAGATTCTCAATCATTGGTAAATTTAGAAATTTCAACTGACATACTCAGCAGATGACCACAGCTATACTATATACCTCCCCATTAGTAGGTTCCTGAGTTAGAGAACTACAGTTATTCCTGCACATACCGGCCCTTTCTGATAGAGACTATTATTCAACAGGCTGAAAATCAGGATTGTTCTAATTTTCTCAGCATCCTCTGCCTTTATACCAGCTGGTTCTGGTAGTGTTCTCCTAATCCAATTGGTTTACTGACTAGTCTGTATAATGGCACTTAAATGTGGCACTTAAAAGCACGGGCTTTTGGCTCATACATGTAACAACTTGTTTTTCATTGAATGAGGAAAAGGACATTGGATTACTCAGAAAAATTAAAAGGAGTAGAAAGTAAAAGACAGAGGTAAAAGAGTAAAATAGGGGAAAAGGGACTTTCTGTGTGCTTGTCACAGCATCCCCACTTCATCTTCCCAATCTTGGGAGGCTTAGAACACGACACACTCTATATAAAGGAATCCCAGAAACATACTAATACGTGTGTACGTATTATACATATTAAGGATAATGAAATCAGGCTTTAAGCATGATGAAAAAGATAATCAAAGTAGGTAATACATAAGCAGTGCATCACAGTAAGTCTTCGCAATGATACTTACTACTTATAACATTTGTAGTTGAAAATTACATTTTATTCAAACAGCAATAAAGTATAATCTTAGAGTCTCCCAGGCAGAGTGCCATGGTGACATCATAGCTCACAGAACCTCAAACTCTTGGGCTCCAGTGATCCTCTTGCCTCAGCCTCCCCAGAAGTTGGGACTACAGGAGCCCACCACAACGCCTGGCTAATTTTTCTATTTTTAATAGAGATGGGGTCATGCCTTTGCTCAGGCTAGTCTCAAACTCCTAATCAAGCAATCTGCCTGTCTTGGGATCCCAGAGTGCTTGGATTACATGTCTGAGCCACCTCTCCTGGTCTGGTTTTTCGTTTTCCTTTTCAACCAATTTTTGTTGGGCAAGGTGGCTTGGGCCTGTAATCCTAGTACTCTGAGTGGCCAAGGAGGCTGGATTGCTTGAGCTCAGGAATTCAAGACCACCCTGAGCAACAGAGATACTCTGTGTCTAAAAAACAAACCAGGCATTATGGCAGGTGTCTCTAGTCTCAGCTACTCAGGAGGCTGAGGAAAGAGAATTGCTTGAGCTGGAGGATGCTGTGAGCTATGATGCCAGAGCACTCCATCCTGGGTGACAAAGTGAGACTCTGTCTCCAAAAAAAAAAAAAAAAAAAAACCCAACAATTTTCATTTGAAGTTGCTTAACATTTAAAACAAGAGAAAAACAGTAACAATTTTAGAATCCGCACTAATATAAATGAAATCTCTATTTGGTTTCTATTAAAATCACAAAATATTTTAGAATAAACAGCTGCAAGATCAGTCAGTGAGAACATGTCCACTGATATCTTCAGACTCAAGACACTACTGATGCTCCAAAATTAATTAACCCACCTCTGGCATCAGGCACTTCCAGAATGTAGAAGTCCAAGAAGATTATTTCAATATACCACATAAATAGCTTCATCATTTTGCTGTTTGGTATTTGTCAAAAATCAATGTATACAAAATATGTTCTTTCAAAGAGCATCTAAGAGTCTGGTGTGTGTGGTAACTAAAAATGCCCACAGTTACTCTATTTATAAAAATTGTTATTTCTGTTCAAACTCATCCACATGGGTATCAAAAACCACATAACCAGTTAGGTCTCAAAAATAGGAGAAACAGGCCGGGAACAGTGGCTCACACCCATAATCCCAGCACTTTGGGAAGGCAAAGCAGGAGGATTGCTTGAGGCCAGGAGTTCAAGACCATCCTGGGCCACATAATGAGACAACATCACTATAAAAAAATCAGGAAAAAGAAAATTAGCTGGATGTGTTGGTGGGCTACTCAGGAGGCTGAGACAAGAAGATGGCTTGAGCCCAGGAGTTCAAGAAGGCAATAGCTGTGATTGTGCCACTGGGCACAGAGCAAGATAAAAAAAAAAAAAAAAAAGGAATAAAAAATACAAAGAAAAAGAAAGAAGCATGTAGAAGGATAGAAAAGGGGAAAAATGGCTCAGCGTTTGTGGCTCAAGTGGCTAAGGCACCAGCCACATACACCTAAGGTGGCAGGTTCGAATCCAGCCCAGGCCCACCAAACAACAATGATGGCTGCAACCAAATAATAGCCAGGTGTTTGTGGTGGGCACCTGTGGTCCCAGCTACTTGGGAAGCTGAGGCAGGAGACTCGCTTGAGCCCAGGAGTTGGAGGTTGCTGTGAGCTGTGATGCCACAGCACTCTACCCAGGGGGATAGCTTGAGGCTCGGTCTCAAAAGAAAAGGGAAAAAATGTGGAACATGAAATGTGGACGAAGAAAGAAAGTGAAAAGGAAAGAAAAGGTATTGTCTGAAAAAGATTCTCCGCACCTGTGCATAAGCCAGCTTCAAAAGCAGGTCCTCCTTCCTTCACTTGTTTAACAAATATGGTATCCATTGGCTCCAAGCGGCTTCTTGGTTTTCCTGGGATAGAGAAAAAATCCAAAGCACAATTTTACTTCCTAATATTTTATTAAAACACCAAAATATGAAATGGTATCTAATTGAGGCAATTAAGCAAAGATTTTTAATGAAGTATTAAACACGAGTCTCTTATTTGAATGCTAAGATCATAATGGAGGAATGGAGGCGTTTTCATTAATTCAAACATTTATTTTGCTTCTTCCATAATGTAATTATAACCACAACACTGTAATGGCTTCCACTTAGGGGGTAAGTTCTGTATGCCACTTCCTCCTCTCACTGACACACACCTCAAAGCTCATTCTCATAGCAAACATTACTACCACCATTCGTAAAAGAGGAAACTGAGGCTTAGAGAGATTAAATAAGTTTTCCAAGGTCACACAGCTAGCAAGTGCTAGAGCTGATTTTACAGGTGGTCTCATTCTACTGCTTTTCAGTACTGCGCTGTGCTCAGTGTGACGATACAACAATGAGTAACACAGTCCTCTCCTCTCAGGGACTCTGGTAGGAGAGAGACACACAAACAGACGACAGTAAATTACAAAAAACAAACAGAGACAAATACAAAATACAGTTATAACAGCAAGCAGAACATGGCCAACTCTGTAAGTCAGAAATGTCACTAGCTATTGTCCACGGACCATCTGCACGAACATCTAAGGTGCTTGCTGAGAATGGATGTTTTGGACTCCGACCAGAAATCTGCTTTGTCACCAAGTTTCCCAGGTGATCCTAATATACTTTAAAATTTCAGAACAACTAGGAGTTTCAGTAACACAGAACAGTCACGGACGGATTCACAGATGAAAGGGCATTTCAGCTAAGTGATAAGTACCATGGTGAGTACTGTACAAAAAGGCAGACAGTAGCTAGTTCTCAAAGTGTGGTCCCTGGACCAGCAGCATTGGTATCACCTGGGCATGTGTGAGAAATGCAAATTTGTGGACCTCGCCCTAGATCTCCGGCATCAGAATCTCTGAGGTGATTATGATGTATACTCAAGTTTGAGAACCACTGAAGTAGAAGACACAGTCCTGACCTTTACGGAAGAATACAACTGAGAAAATAAGGCATATATGTGTGTGGAGTAATATATTGATACTTGTTAAATAGAAGTACTGAGCAGAAAGCAATTAAGTGTCAAATATAAAGAATTCATAATTGCCTATATGCACTAGAGATATGGTTCAAAAGATGTTCCTTAATAAAAGAATATCTTATCAATAGCTCCCCTTTCATACTTATTTATTCTGAAAGAAGCAATGAATGGATAACTACCCAAAAAGAAATAAGGTATAGTGGAAATTGCTTGTTTTAAAAGCCAATAGAGGCTCAGCACCCATAGCTCAATGGTTAGGGTGTTGGCCACATGTACCAGGGCTGGTGGGTTTGAACCTCGCCAGGGCCAGTTAAACAACAATGACAACAATAACAAAAAACAGCCAGGCGTTATGGCAGGCACCTGTAATCCCAGCTACGTGGGAGGCGAGGCAAAAGAATCACTGAAGCCCAAAAGTTTGAAGTTGCTGTGAGCTATGATGTTACAGCACTCTACAGAGGATGACATAGTGAGATTCTGTCTCAAAAAAAAAAAAAAAAAAACACAATAGAAGCCAATAGAGATGGGTTCAAATTCTTGCTTTGGCACTTGAAAATTTCTGCATGTGCCAGGCTCTGTTTTTCTTCACAGAACTTACTACCTAAAATTACATTTTATTTGCTTAAATGTTCAGTGTATGCCTCTTCTGCTAAGAGCAGGAATTTTGACATGGTCACCAACGTTCACAGCACATAGGACCATGCTTAGCACAGAGCAGGCATTTAATAATCATGTGATTAATTAATATATTTATTATTTAGTTTAATTTGCACAAGTCTTCAAGATGAGCATGATGATCCTAATCTTGCCCTCTGACGAGGAGGAAATAGAGAATAACTTGGAAAAAGGCAGAGTAGGGATTTGAACCCAGGTGTGAAATCAAATGTGGCATTCTACTCTGCTTCAAAAATAATCAAAATTCATTTCTCTTATGCTGACTATAAAAATAGTCCATTTACAATTATTATAATTTAATAAGGAACATAACACTTTCTTTTCAACTTAAGTTAATTCTAGTCCAGTTGATGATCAAGTTAGGTCCCTCTGTGACCAAACCAATATTTGCAACAGTTGGCATAAAAGGAAAACAATCTATTTTATTGGCTAGAGATTTGAGGGTTTAGTAAGTTTTTGTTCCAAGTCATTACTTTCAGGGAAAGAATTATATATTACAAGGGAAGAGACTTTTACTTATTAATGTCTTCTAGTCCACTGTGTCTCAAAGGTGATTATATATTTATATATAAGAATACCAAATGTAAAATGACTATTAATGAATTCTACAAAATAATAAAAAGTTGGTTAGGTAGCAATGTGGTGACTTCTGAAAATTCTGATAGAAAATTTCACTTACACAGAATAGAAGTGGTCCAAAATAATTTGGTGTTAAATAAAGAAAATACTAATTTTGCAATGACTGCCGCTGCAAAGTCAGAGATATTTTGCCATTGACAAATCTTTCAATACACTATGCCTGAAAACATATGAAGATGGAATAGATTAAAAGAGGCCAATCCTGTACAAGTACTATTTTATCTGCTGAGACTTATACATATGATTCTTGCTCACTTTCCTTCCTGAACTTTCCCCAAAATTCTGACTTGCTACCTATAATATCCAATTCCTTCTAAATAACAGAAAAATTTCCCATAAGTAGACCTTAAATATGAGCAGGTTTCACTAAAAAATATATATCTCAACTACTGGTTAAATACTTGGCTCATTGATTTTCAGAGTATCTTCTTTTTCATATACATAATTTTGCTAATTCTGGGAATCAAAAGTATCAATTTTAAAATAGGTGTCATTTAATCTCAAGTCTTTAGTTTCTATGTGAAAAAGTAAAGGCCTGATCACGAATGGTGACGATCACCTGAAAAAATGACTCCATACTTCCCTGTATAATTATTTAGCAGAGCCAGATGGCTTCCCTGGCAATCCTTAGGAAAAGCCCCTTTCAATTCCACATCCGTATTTCAATGTTGCAAAGAATTGTTAAATACATTATTCAAGCATCATTTCCTTGACCTTAACAAAAGAAAGGGAAAATGCATCTCTTTACCGCATATGTGTAATTAAATCTTTCTGTATATGTAGAAAAGTAAAAAGACAATGACCCTTACATGGATGAGAATGGCTCAAGTGACGAGCCATTCAGACAAAGTCCCATTTTAAGTTAGTATATAATAAGAACAGACTTAAACAAGACATAACAGCCTGTATAAATGTACTTGAAGTTAGAGATTGTACTTGAAATCAAAGAATGCACATATGTTTACATTATAGTAAGTATGATCAGCTGGGGAAAAAATAACTTGAGCTTTAAAAAGTTAATTATAGTAGCTGTCATCCAAATACCGAATGTCCAGGTAGATGAGATTTTTATTGTTTGTATATACACGTAGTATAATTCGATAGTTAAGAGTGTGGGCCTTGCAGGGCACAGTGGCTCACACCTATAATCCCAGCACTCTGGGAGGCCAAGGTAGATGGATTGCTTAAGCTCAGGAGTTCAAGACCAGCCTGAGCAAGAGACTCCATCTCTAAAAATAGGAGTTATAGCGGGTGTCTGCAGTCACAGCTACTTGGGAGGCTGAGGCAAGATCATTTGAGCTCAGGAGTTTGAGGTTGCTGTGAGCTATGATGCTACCGCACTCTATCAAGGATCACAAAGTAGGCTCAGTGCCTGTGGCTCAAGTGGCTAAGGCGCCAGCCACATACACCTAAGCTGGCGGGTTTGAATCCAGCCCGGCCCGCCAAACAACAATGATGGCAGCAACCAAAATATAGCCAGGCGTCGTGGCAGGCACCTATAGTCCCAGCTACTTGGGAGGCAGAGGTAGGAGACTCGCTTGAGCCCAGGAGTTGGAGGTTGCTGTGAGCTGTGATGGCACAGCACTCTACGAGGGCGACAGCTTGAGGCTCTGTCTCAAGAAAAAAAAAAAAAGGGATCACAAAGTAAGACTCTAAAACAAAAGAGTTTGGGCCTTATAACCAGATTACATGCTTTAAAATCCCAGGCCTGGCTTGGCACCCATAGCTCAGTGGTTAGAATGCCGGCCACATGCCCCAGGCTGGTGTGTTTGAACCTGGCCCAGGCCTGCTAAATGACAATGACAAAAAAAATGGAAAAAAAAAACAAAGTTGAGCGTTGTGGTGGGCACCTGTAGTCCCAGTTACTTGGGAAGATGAGGCAAGAAAATTGCTTAAGTCCAAGAATTTGAGGTTGCTGTGAGCTGTGATGCCACAGCACTGTGAGGGTAACACAGTGAGACTCTGTCTCAAAAAAAAAAAAAAAAAATCCTAGGCCTATCATTTATTTTCCAAGTGAGATCATCAGACTTTGCAATATTTGATATTTAAACTAAAAATTATTCATTGTCTATCTGAAAAAAACAATTTAATTGGGCATACCATCTGAAAAAAACAAATTAATTGTTTTATCTGGCAACTCTATCTCCAAGTGATTTTGAGAAATTATTCACCTGTGCCCTGTTTATTCATCTGAAAAATGAGGATGATGATAAATACTCCAACCTGGCAAGGCTATTGTGAGGATTACAGGAGATAATCCATTAAAGCGCTTATATAATACCTAGCACAAGTAGGTATTTAGTGAATCTTACTATTATCCTAGCCTGCTTATAAACTTTCAGAAGATTTACATACAGATCAGGGATGACCCAGGGCACACACAGCTTGTCATACTGCAAGTGAGCAATGAATCCTGGTTGAAAGAATACCCGTAAAACTCAACTGTCGCATTATAGGAAAGTCAAGAAAGGTAAGCCAAAGAGAAAAGCATGAAAGAAGAAAAGGCAGGAAGGACGGTATTACAAGAACTTCCAGTAACTCTGACACAAGCCACACAGCTGTTTTTACAGAGCATGTGTCTGAA